CTGTGAGCCGTTTTACAAATCCGACTGAGGACGTCTCACTATCAGATGACAGGTACCAAAACAGGACATACGAAAAGGACACGCTCACTCATAGGAAAGTTTATGGCTTTACAAGATGGTTCAGTTGTTAACTGATGAAATATACGAAAGTAGTTTGGCAAGACTTCCGAAGGATACGTAACGATAACGATGTTTCAAAATGGAGATTATTAAAATGTATATCAAGCAAAATCGATAAAATAAGAGTGGTTTCCAGCTATAGCCTAAAAGTTATCGCTTAAGCTATAATTTTATAGTTATGCTTATACTTTCCCAAAATGTCACTACCAATGTTTTGTCTCGAATGCAAAACATTGCGGGGCTATGAACAAGGTTTTACTGTCATTTTTAATATCACTTTAGAAAAAAGAGAAAAACATTTAACACACTGTCATTCTGACATAGGTAGGTATTAGGTAAGCATGCTCGAATGTTCCCTATTCACATCGTAACTTTGTCTTAGCGAGACCGCAAATCATGCCCCGAAACATCGTGCATAACCGCACGACGCATGGAAACTCGATATCGATTGGACTACGGTTTTATGAACTCGTATTCAACTGGACAGATTAACCGGCGCCCTGGTGGGGTCTGTTTATAACGCGACCTGGTGGGGGGGGGGGCTATTTTTTGCCCCCCCCCCTCGTATCTCCGAAACTACTGGTCGATCCGCAAAATTCAAACGGCGTTCGAAAGGCCTGTCAAATTTGTCGAAGGAAACCAAATTTCATTGACCTCGGGGTCACCGATGACGTCACAGGTCAGGTCAAAGATGAAATGTTTCACCGTTCACGGGTCTTCTAGGGAATGCGCTATAACACCGAGGAAAACGCATTTTGTCGAGAATCAGCGATAGGGCGTCAGTTGCCTAGTAGATATGTTGCTATTAGAGGTCACTGACAATACCAGGTCACGTCACAGGTCAGGTCACCAAGGGTCACAGGTCAGGTCACATGAGCCCAACTTTACTAAGGTTGTGTGATGCATGTTTTATGGCCAATTTTTCATTTCCAACTCAATGGTGTTGGTTATAAGACTATCAGGTACGGCTTAGGTCACTTTCTGGTGAAGTTCAGGTCAAGGTCAGGTCAAGGTCAGGCCAAAAAGGTCAAATTTTAAAGTTGATAGTTTTGCATAAAATGGGTATTGATTCGATGCAGCTCGTCACGGGGAGTCTAATGGCGGTCTTTGTTTTGCGCTACGGGGTCTAGAATTGCTAAAAATTGAGTTTGAAAATTTGACGTCATCAATTTTGAAGTTTTTTTCGCTATAACTTCGCCAAAAAAAAGAGGTATCAATCTCAAATTTGGTATGTGGATGGAAGGCGGTAAGGACTATCACATATATTCCGGTTTTTGCGAAATTCATTTTTTTCGATCATAATATACAAAAAAAAAAATATTTTTTTTTATTTTTGGGGGTCAAAATCCAAAAATTTCAAAAATCCGAGATAGCAGTTTTGTAGCCCTGTCAATTCTACAGTTTTTATGTCCTAATCATTTTTCTGTATTTGCAAAGCTATAGGCCTGACAGCTCTTCCCGCGAAACCCTTTTTTGGGTCAAAAACGGCAGAACATGACGTCACTCTGACGTCATTTCCAGCCAACCTATCATAGCCTTTGGAAAAAATTTTGGTCACCATGTGTAAAATTGGTGTCCGGGAGGGTACTGAAAGTTTAGTGACGATCGGCGCAGAGGTTCTGGAGATATATCGAAAAGTCTCGAGGGGGGGGGCAAAAAATAGCCCCCCCCCCCCACCAGGTCGCGGGTTAACAGACCGTAAGCAAGCTAATGAAAAGTCAAGCCCATCTGCTAAACGAAAAATACGCATGAGGAGCGGTGCACCCCGCACACCCAGCCTTATCAGACCACGCGCATGTGGCGATGTGGTAGTAATCTGAGCAGCATTTTTGACTAAAGATGTTCTTAGTGACACCTGGGAATATTTCTGGTTGGATGGAAAGAATATTTAGTCATTTTGGGGCATATCTTTAGCATTGTAAAATGTTATTGTTTCATTGCTAATAACACTATTTAGTCCTGCGATAACAAACACCAACCACGCTACACGAAAATATCACTGGACGACAGCGAGTCATGAACTCTCTCTCTCTCTCTCTCTCTCAGCTAAACAGAAAGCTGTTATAGGTACTTACTCTGATGCTTGTCAGCTAATGAGATGAGGGATGAGGAGATATCTCTCCTCCGATAGAAGCACATCACTTTGGCTTCCACATTGCCATTTAAAGTCTGAAAAACAAAAACGGTGTTAGGCATGTGGTGTTCATCTAGGTTGTGAAAAGCACTGCATAGGTATATTTTGACAATACACCAATAAGCAATGTCACCAAGCAAACACCTGTTACAAAGAGGAAAATAGATAGCAATGTTGCCCCTCTCGTGGAATACAGCAGCGGACTCACGAAACCGGGTTCGAGTCGTTTCGGTACTCGGTGTACGAGAGCACTTGACGGGGATGGTCAGCGGTTGGTGGTAGCAGTCGCAGCCATCTGATATTGTATATCGACACGGGAACGCTAGTGTTCGTTGCAGAACTTCTCCCGATCATTCAAACTGAGCCAATTTGATTAGGAGATCGCAAGTCATCAAAAAGAAGATAAGCGGGCCCACACAACAAAACACAGTCCATTCCACTCGATGGGGGACTGGCTACAGCTGCTCCTACCAACCACAGACCATCCCCTGAAGGAGTCATATTATGTCAAGCGGCTCGAACCTAGGCTCTCATGACCCACCACCGAGAGCACTGCACCCTATCAAGTGAGCTACCACAAATCGCCTCTGATACTATACAACAGCACACAGTATGCTCATACCATTCACAGTTCACATACCTGCCTATTGATATCACATTGCATATGACAATTTGAGGTGCTGATACATTAACATGTAACAATACTGACCTTATTCAATTCCTCAATCCTACGTATCTGGTAGGGTGAGGTGGAGGATGTCTCAAAAAAGACATAGTCTGAAAAAGAAAACAAAATGGTTACTTTGGGTCAACACATGATCACTGAAATGATCAGGATACACTAGAACCAGACACATGCACCAAAGGTAAGTATCAGATTCAGCTCTGCATCACTTAAAAACTTAGGTTTTCTCATATCTGAGGTTATAAGTATGTGATACCTGAAATTCCTCCACAAACATTCTGATGTTCTTCTAATCCGGTACACTGAACAAGCTAGATGACCAGAACATGTGAAGGGCCAGCAATGGTCATAACTACTTGGGATAAACTAGAATGCATCTGTTATGAACATACACAATCTATAAACACAGCAAATGATAAACAATGCCAATCAGGCATGGATCTGGTCCCAACATACGACTTTGATGTTCCAAGCCAGTTTCTGGAAACATCAATCCAAGACCAGGAAACATTTGAAAGTCAAAATGCACTTAGTCACACCATTCAATTTATTTGTTCAATACAAGAGTTTGAAGACATAAGTGTATTAGAAGCAAGCCGTCCCCTTTCAAACACCTAAATACCTACTTGGATTCCTCTTCTACAGGCACCCTAGCAAAAGCTCACTTGGCTGGATGGAAATGATTTGCAGATGCATAATGCATGGGTACGCTAACATATTCTGGACCAATCGCTAAATCTTTCACACAAAAATAGATTAATCCAAAACAATGTGATATGCTGAGAAGGACAGCACATGATATGCTCACAGCTTAATTCATGGGCAGTATTTACTGCTGTATTCACTGCTGATCAATGTCAATCAAAAGTATGACGAACCAATACAAATAAATTTATATCTATTAGATATCATTTCAAAAAGCATATAAGGTTGTTCCAGTTTTTTCTTACTATTACATGTCTTTTAATGAAAGGTTGCACATGCAAGGGCATCTATCAAGCAATGATAGCATACGACCATAAGCTGAAACAGCTTCCATAACATTAGTTTTTTTTTCTCATGGAGCTGTGATCCATCATACAAAAACGTCTTACTGCAGCTTGTTCTAAATTGTCAATGAATTTTAGGGCAACTATGCCTCAATGACAAATTTGAGTTGCCCATTTCGGTAAAGTATTTTGAAGTGATCATAAGACGAGGCAGCTGATTTACAAAAACAAGGCAGGATCAAAATAGGCACATTTTTGGCTCAAACTCCAAGTTGAGGTGATGGAATTAGTTGTGCATGCAGACTGTAGAGAAAATATGAAATAAAAATCACCGTCAAATACCTTAAATACCAAAAAAATCTTACCAAAAATGAAATAATTCAAATAAAAACAATCCGCGCCACAAACGTCTCAATGCAATTAAACTTGTTGCAATGACTCTCATTTCAACAAAATGGCAAGATAGCATGCATGGGATCACCCTTCTTGATATGTTTTTGTGTTGGACATCCTATAATTCTCATTAATTGACCAAATATCATCCATTTACTGGCGACCGGCTTAACCGCCAACCCACGCTCCTTGCAGAACAAACAATAAGCCCACAATTCAACTTACCTCCAACCCTATACATATTCGCAGCCATTGCATCTAGATCACTACACGGAAGAACAACACTTAACACACATATTCAGTCCATTTTTTGTATCCACCATACGCCGCAAGTCCGCGATACACCGTAATTAATATGGATCACAGCATCCGTAACACCAGCAACTTCGCCATTTTCTGTGTTTCCTTCTCATTTACAAAACTCCGTGACGTCACGAGGCCCCAGGCGATCATCGGGCGGACGGCAGAACGGGTGACGAGGCTAATTAGTGGACAACAAACTGCACTGGTTTCCAGCCTTTCCGAGCTGTGCACTCCGCACCGCGCGAATCCTCCCGTGACAACCCTCCCGCTGTGAGAAACCAACGGCCATTTTACGACACCGTGCGTAACGGCAATCAGCCATGCAATTGAATCCAGGTGGCGCCCCCTTACAACTGGGTTGAAGAGACCAAGGAGCTCGCGTTGTACTGATGTATTCGCGATCATGTGAATATTTACATATATTCAAGTACAAAACATGTTCGTGGAGACTTGCACTATGAATATCTGGTAGCAAAATAAATACGAAATGTCATTTATCTATTTGTTTGATGTTCTAGTTTACGACGTTCCATTGGCACAGGTGCTTATAAATCGAGCATTACTCGGAGGAAGTACAATACGCCAACAAATTCGCTAAGGCACTGGAGACGGCGGGTGCAGTAGGCACCAGCAGTGGGGCGGCATCTGTTGGTCCGAGGTGATCCAGCGCGCAACGAACTCGACAACGCAGTGGCAGCAAGCTCGAACGCCGGGATGACGAACAGATGAGAAACAATAACACATCTCTAACCGAATGCGACACTTGTCATCAGCATGAGTCACGCACCAATTGCAGCGCGACAACAACATTTCATCGAAACAAAACAACACACTGAACAACACATCGTAGGCGCCGCAAGTTCATGAAACAACAAAACATAAAACTGATTCTATCAAAACCGGGAGCCGTGCCCGGCCGGGCGGTCGACCGATGCGACGCGGGGGCCACTGGCCGGCCCCATGGTGCGATTGTCCAGACATATCACATACGGAGGCATTAGCTGAGATCTTGACGAGCCGGAGTGAAGAGACGAGAGCGCCGAGGGCCGGCGGACGGAGTCGACCGCAGCGCCGCCTGGCGGAGCACGGTGCACGCATGCGCAGAGCGTGCCGGCGGGCCGGGCCGCGGGACGGACGGCAACACCAGCGGAGAGCAGACTGGCGTCCAGCTCAGGTCCCGAGAGCCCGCCACCCACCACGGAACGGGCCCCAAGATCACAGGCAGCAACGAAGGAAGAAATTATGCCGAGACTGAGCGAGAAAACCATATTGCCTTCCAGATTCTAATATACACTCATTCACGCCAATCTCCCTCTCACTTTCTCGCTTTGTGAAGTGTTGCTCTGGGACCAGCCGAGTCTTCCAAACCCTCTCCAACAGACCAACAAACGTAGGGCGCGCCGCGCGGCGGCGCTCCTCTCCAGCACCAAGATGGCCTCCGCGGCGAGGTTGGAAGGTTCGGCGGCCGGTCGGCGCGGAGGGGCCGGTCGGCCGCACAGCGGAACAGACGCCACCGACTGCTACCTGCGCGACAGGTTCAGCGGCGCGTCTGAAACAGACGGACAGAAGGAGTCAGACGCTGGGACTCGTCATCACGACTAATGGATGCAGCTGACAGCATCACCGACTTTTTTGGACTTTGAGAACAAATATGATTGATGACTGTGATGAGCATTGTTAGTATTATAACTTTTTGGATTTTGGCAGATTGTCATCGGTACCTACCCAATACGGGAAAGAAAATCATCCCCCATAAATGGTAGGAGAGGTCAGGATGAGAAAATAAAATCATATTTCAGATGAAAAATGCGATGCTATCACTGGCCTATCAACTATTCCGTCCCCGCCCCTGCCCAGCTCAGCTGCACGCCGCCTCACCTTGTTCGGGCTGTAGCGCGGCGGCCACCACCGGACTGTGGAGACTGGCCTGGTGGGCGGGACTCGGCAGCTGATGGCGCGCCGCCGCCGACCGCGGCGGCGGCGGTGGCGGCGGCGGCGGGCTGGCCGGCCGCGCCAGCAGCGGCGCCGGCCGGTGCACCGTCGGGTGGCTGAGCTGCGAGTAGAGCAGTGGCGAGACCAGCGGGTAGGCCGGGTAGGCGGCTGGCAGCGGCGGCGCCGCCGGCACCAGGTGCTCCAGGCCGCGGAACGCCGACACCGCCTGCAGGTACTGCATGTACCGCGACTGGTGGCACGCCAGCGGCGAGAACGCGCCGGACGCTGCCACAGAGTGCGGCGGCGGCGCGGAGGAAGGTGCCGAGGTCGGCGGCGGCGGAGCGGGCGGCTCGCTGGCTGGAGGCGGCGCCGGCGGCGCGGTCGGCGGCCGGGGTGACGGGCGGGCCGGGCTCCGCGCACTCGGCGCTGCCAGCAGTGAGTCTATTGAGTAGGCCGAGCAGGGCGCCGTGCCGCGCCCGTTTCGTTGCGGCGGTTCCCGCGGCTCGGAGGCCGCCGGACTGACCGCCACAGTCGGCGCCGCCGCCGAGCCGGGGAGAGTCCCTGGCGAGCTCAGGCCCGCGCCGGCCGCGCTAGACGAGGTCGACGGGCCGGGGGACGGTCGCGTCGAGCGCGCGGCGCCCGTCTCCCGGCCAGCGTGCGGCCGTTTCCTGGGGGACGTCTGCCAGGCGGACGGACCCGCCTTACCGGTCCGAATCCGAACCGTCTGCGTGGGCCGCACGACGGGCCGGCGCCGTCGGTCGGCCAGCCGGCCCACCAGCGACTCTAGCGTGGCGGCGCGGCCGGCCGCCGGCAGGGGGCTCTGCTTCCTCCGCGGTCGGCGCTCGGCCACCGGCGGCGGCGACAGCGGCGGCGGCCGGAACGCTGCCAGCGTGGGCTTCCTGCTGAGGCGCCGGAGCCGGGCGCGGCCGGCCGCCGCCTGCCAGAGCGCCAGCGCCGGCGGACAGCCGAGCTGCTGCAGGGTGCCGCCCGAGCTGGACCGTCGCCGCGGAGCCCCCTGTTTCCGCCGGTATGGATCCACCGGCCACGGAGACGACTGGACCGACGAGCAGTCGTCTGCGGAAACAGCAAGACTCGTGTCAGAGGGCACCTCTGCTACAGATAGCATTCAACAGGTGACTCAATGCCGAGCTATGCGGCATCATATGCATGAATTGTTCGCACGAGCGAGCCGTAGGTAGCACATCTGCGCCAAACAGGAAATAACTTATTCTGAAATGAACAACAAAAATGGATAGCTACACATGTAAAGAATGCATTCTAAAGCAAAACCCAACGGAGTTGCAACTTGATAGCGCATAGAATTGGGCAGGGGTTGAGAAAACAACATAGCAAGAGAGGCGAGCTAAACTACAGCAGTGTACCCATCCCGAGCCAGTGAGCTGTGGGCCACCTCGCCCATCCACACGAAAAGCACAGACGTGGTGAGCTGGGCACGTACCACTGAAGGAGGCCACCTGTTCCATGCGCGCGTTGACGGTGGGCGGCGTCCAGTAGGTTTTCCTGGCCACGGCCACCCAGCGCTTCTCGAACGTGTCCGAACTGTGTGACAGCTCCAGCACGACACGGCCGTCTGTAACGCAGACCGGACGGAGGTAGATACCAGCGGCGACCCCACACACAGATACGGTGCCATTGGTAAGGGCTGGGGAAACGTCGACAAAGAGTCCGGTGGGCAGGTCCCCCCCCCCCCCCCCCCAACACACACACACAGACGACTTCGATGTAAAACGGCAGCCGTGGTTAATGACAGGATGACATGGACGGGACCATGCATATTGTGGCAACAACAAAACATTTACACTTGGTACCTAGCTGTTCAGTGTCAATGAAAAAATGCGTAAAAAAAGGACGCCATTTAATTGCGTCCCAGAAAAGCTATTTCTGGCACCTAAAAGCTGACTCGCCCCAAAATTGGTCCTCAGCACCTATTTGGTGGATACCAGCACCAATCATGGAAAATGACCTTAATTAGCTGTTTCTGGCACCTATTCATCGGTACGCCTTACTCTTTTTTCTGAATCTGGCACCTAAATGCTGAGCGTAGCACCAATCTAGTAGAAAAATGAACTACTGGCTGGAAGAATCATGTTGTTCTGGTATAATGACCCCTGGAGTCTAGCCTAAAGGTTGCCAGTGCAGCTACACTCTAAGACAGCCCCGTAGTGATCTCAGCATTGTATATGACGTTAGGTAAGCAAATAATATTGATCTGTTTGAAAAAGCAATGTCATTTAAATATTTAAAAGTATTTATTTGTAATGCTTAAAGGGAAACATTTTTGTGAGTAATTGTCACAATTTTGACCATTAAAACGGGTATTGTATTTTTTGACGTCATTAAATAGCTCCAAAAAAGAAATGTAATGTTTTCATTCCTTTCAAGGCCGCTGAAGAAACGCGGGATCTTGCGTGGGACATTGTCCGTTGTTTGCCGCGGAGAGTTGTGCCGTGGTTGTGCCTTTTTCATCCGTTTCTTACTTATGTGCGCATGAAGCTTTGATTTTGTTTTTGGTTATTGTGTGGCCGGTCAGTCAAACGCCCCTGTAGAAACCGGATGCTGCGTTTGATCGAGATGGAGTCTGACGATGATTGCAGAAAGCTAATAATATTGAAAAGAGGGCCGGTTGCGTGGCATGTCTGTTCAGAGTTGACATTTTGCTTTACTCCAGTTTATGACCGGAGAGCCTGGCTGGAAGTGACGTGATCCAAACTTTTCACGTTAAAATGGCTGAGGGTGCAATAATCTCTACATAGCGGGCTGGTATAGGAGCGTCTTGCTATGCTGCACCATAGCTGGCTAGTGATTCTCTTTTGGCTAGAAATGGCATTAATCATTATCTCCACTGGCGAAAATGGCACTTGACATCACCGAATGCAACGTTCATGTTTGTTAGGATACATAAAATCAGGAAGATTACGCGAATTAGGTAGGCAAACGTGGAATAAAATAGGTGCTGGATGTTTTGGTTTTGGTGCTGAATCAGCAAACAGCAAATACGGAGTTCAACTAGACGATCTGGCAACTTTAGGCTGTGTGGAAGCAATTAGGTGCCAGATTCAGATATTAGGGTCGAATAAGCATTTTGGGGCTGATAAGCAATTAGGTGCCAGAAACAGCTTTTTAGGGACCAGAAACAAATATTCCCCTAAAAAAAATATCTACTTGAACGCATAAATGAGAAGACCTACAAAGAAATTCACGCAGGCATACACAATAGCAAGTCACATTCCAAACACAATTCATAGTTCCAGCTTCACGCCAACCTATCCCAAACGATCATCACTTTCGGAGCGCATTCCATCAGGTACCAGTGCACAGCCATCTGCGGTTTAAAACCGCACGAGCTGAACACATGGACGGACATTGGCACACGCGAGTTGCACTGAAACTTCTATTCTATTGTGGACGCGGGCAGCGACTACCCAAAAATCGAGACAATACCATTGAACTCGTCAACAGTGGCATCAATAACGCCCATCAATTGCGAGCATGCAGCTGTCCGGGACCCACTGGAAAGTCCATCACCGGTGCTTAGAGTCAGAATGTGCCTGTGCCCGATCGTCTCCTTCGGAGGAGCTTATGTAATATTTTTGCGAAGGAATTGTGTTTACTCTTCAATGGAATGTGAAGGATAAACAGAGATCTCAGTCTACCTCACCAAAAACCTTGGTCTCCAAGGCGGTTCATGATTATTTGCAGTGCAGAGGGATCAGAAATATTTCCAGTAAGATATCCAATAAGATAAGCCAGTTTGACCCTGTCGCTGAGGCCGAGCATATATCTGTTCTTTACTTTCAAAGAAGGAAGGACTCGGCCCAGATGGATAATTGGGTAGTTTTACCGAGCGGCCACAAACAGTGGGTTTCTGAAGCGTCAGTCACATAACCGAGGAATGCCTTAAGTGAACCACAACATGCAAGCCAGCCTCAAATATATACCAGCAATATGCCACGAATGGTTGTATTGCATCGAAACTAGCATTAAATGCTCGCGGATCAAGTTCGTTGAAATTGTCACTGGCCTGGGATATCTTCATCAGACAATTCCCGCAAAATTAGCTTTTCCTGTCGTGCTATAGCCATCTGAGCAGCCACAGCGGCCACTGAGCGTTGTCTGGCGACCTGTCGCGTCGGCGGTGGGCCGCAGATCTGATCGATGCGAGTCTCGCACGCCAGGGGTGGGATGTGTCCAGCACGCGCCGCCAAATTGACGGCCAGCACGTGAGGCCCCGGCCGACCGGCCAGCCGGCCATCGCCGAGACGGAGCGAGGTGGCAGCTACAGACGGGCTGATACAGCGGCGGGATAGCGCACCAAACAGCATGAAATGCCTAACCGAAAACCGGGACTGGGCAATTGTCGGAACGAAGCCATATGGACAGTCATTTGTACCCGCACAAACTAGGGCAACGGAAACGCACTATCATTATGCCAACGTTGGATATGTCTTGTGCAAGGCTGGAATTTTGACAGCGAAAATATGCGAGGATGGTATATTTAATTGCTGCATTGGCATATAAAAGCTCACAAGTGTGTAGTGAAAATAAAACGTCGGCAAATGACTGCAATAGTTCTAAAAAAAAAGTTGTGAAATCAGCTGCTGCATAAGTAGCCAAAATGCAGCTGTTTTACCAAAAAAAGACTACGAGAGTTCAGGTAAGTCTTTCTGATCATTCTTCCACCATTATGCATAACAATAAATAAACTACAATGCATCTTTTTAGACACCAGGCCATCCCATCCACGACCAGATAATCAGCATAAGTGCCAAGGGTGCGTGTGTATGGGGTCCTGACGTCGGAGACCCGGTCCGCCGGTCGCACCTTTTCCGAAGAACTTGAGCCGTCCGCCGTGCTCGGCCCGGTGGTCGGGCTCGGAGAGCGGCGGTGACATGGTGGTGGAGGGCGCCGGCGAGAGTACGGCCGGCGGCGGCGGCAGCTGCGTCAGCCCGTCGGCGGCCATCGTCTCCACCGGGGCGCACACGGCGCGCTCCTCCTTCATCATGTACGCGACGGCATCACCTGCGGAGGCACAGGGGCGGCGGGCGGTCAGAAAACTAACGAGATATGGGACAGGGACAGGATGGGTCAGAGACATGGGGAGACGCGACAAAGGGGTGGGCCATCCTGGGACAGACAGACGCAGGGCGGAGCGGGGCAGGTCAGACAGAATCGGCTGGGGCTGGGGAGACAGGAAATGGAAAGGGCCAGATAGGGTCAGAGGTTTGAAGACCAGAAGGCAAGGGTCAGGGCTATTCAAACAGGGGATAAGACCTGGACGGACACTGACTGGGCGGGGTGGATCCGTCACGGGCGGACGGGGTAGCGGATTAGGGCCAGGTTTAGCCAGAAAAAAAGTTCAGTAGATGAGACAGAGTTGGTCGGAGTCAGTCCCCACTGGCAGAAAGGCAATGGGCCTGAAGTTGGTGAGAGGAAGTTGACTGGAGCGAATTTAACAGCGTGGAAGGATTCAGTTGGAGCTGGCAGGACAGCAAGAGATTGGCAGGGCTGGATGGGCTTAGCCAGAGCAACTGAGCAGCAAAGCCTATAGGCACTACATAGGATGGCATGTGATGCAAGTGCTGTACCAGACCAGCATCTATCAACAGTGTGTGTTTGGTTGAGCATATGACCAAGGAAGGCAGAACATACAGTATACTACTACAGTACATACTACACGAGAGTACTGGCATTCCTATATATTCCATTAAAAATAACCTAGGATTATCATTATTTGGATGCCATGGTCATGGATGTGTTCAAATATGCCATGCCCCTGGTCCCTGCCATTATATATCCACTGCACACAAGCATGGAAGTAGGTATTGTATGTGAGAAAGGAAGAGTTGCAGCAATGGTGAGGGGCTAGGGGTGGCTAAGAAGTAGAAAGGGTTATATTACAGTGGGGTAGAGAAGACCATTGTGAATCGATGTGCAAGTGACACACCAGCAACAACACATCAACTGAACAGTAAACAACTGAAAAAACATAGGTGTAGCAAATCCAGGATCGTACACGCTTTATTGAGGTAATTGGGGTTAAAGGTCCACCACAACAATTACAATTAAGCAGGTGGATTGTGAGTTCAATATTACAAAATATCAGCTAGGTATATAGAAACACCATGTAAACCACAGGTTCACAAATTTCAGAACTCCCATATTGTATACTTTGTACCTACAAAGAAAATATTTCTTGGGATGGAAAATATCTGTTATCTGAAACACTTGACTGCTCAATAATTCAGCACCCACTGGACTAACTTGCTTGAAGGTTTCTGCAAACTGAATATTGCAACATATATTGAGCCCTAATAAACTTAAAATCATTCCTTGATGACTAGCTCTAGCAATGATTAGTGGCTGCTAGCATAACAGCCAAAATGGGCTGGCAATTAATGTAGTTGGATAAAGTAGTGTGGAGTTCAATAAAGTACAAAACAAATAATAAATCATTTTCAACTCTCTAAACTAAATAGCAGATGCCTCATGAAGCTCCTTTATGCCTTCTGAAAAAATTGCTTAGAGGTGAGAATACAGTGTTCTGTTTGGAACAAGAAAAACACTCATCACAGTAGTGTTATGTTGTGGGTAGAAAACATCAATTCAATTCTTATCACCTATCCATGCTTTTCCTTGTACAGCATTGTTCTACAAATCTCTGTATATCCACCTGTTGCAAATTGAGCCTGCTATGTGACAAATCAACAGGTATCGCCTGTAGCCACACATTTTTACTGATGAAACAGATTCATGCAAAAGCCATAAAGTTGAGCTGGCATAATCCTCTCATATCACAAGGAGAAATGGCAAACCCTATTTATAACTTCAGCTTAAATGTTTGAATGGACAGATTTGCAGAGCCAACAAGCCCTGCTAAGCAGAGCTTGTTGGATAGATCTCGACCTAGACTGTATGATCGCCCGATTCTGGGTAACAAGAGACTTTTGATGTCAAAGTTGTATGTGCCCTTCAAAGCTTGAAACGGTCTGTCCCACTCGACTGAGTTCTTAACTTTTAAGGCAGGAACAGAACATTTAGAGTTCAGGAAAACAAATGCAAGCTTTCCCAATACATAAACTCTTGCTCTTAGGCAGGCAATACTTGTACAGCATGCAGTCTGTTTCAGCAGTTACTAAAACCAAGTGCTCCCTGTAATATGAATCATCATCATGGCAATTACTATGTATGACCAAAATTATCATTTTGATTTGGATAATAAAAATAGGCAATCAATTTAGTATAACAAAAATAACTGAAAACATGCCATACAGAAGAGAGCATGCTTGGGTAGCAGCATATTTACTGTTACTATTCCTTGTTTGAGGCGTACCTACTTGCTAAACAAATAACTTAATGCACTTAATATTCACATAGCTACATTCTCTATTCATCCAAACATTTAGACACAAAAAGACTGATAAAATTAACTGTAAAACATGTTCATTTATAAATGCTGGTCAGCAAACTAATGGGTCTGTTCCCGTCGCTCCTCCCAAAAAATCTCGGATGAGGTTGGATGAGCTTGGAGGAGAGCCGTTTCAGAGGAGCCACGGGAACATTTTCGCGAGGAAATCAGCTGTTTGCGGGCTGTAACGGTCGGCGATTTATGGCGCGCAAACATAAATCAAGAGATAATAATCGCTTTCTAATAAAATGACCTTAGATTAATATCAAACATTACTATTTAAAGATATCCAATCGTCATCAATCACTAAAATCATTTCCACTTCCCTCAAATCTCATTTATAAACAATTCACATTCGTATTACGTGCGCCAAATATGTCTACGCAAGAGCCTCCTCCTAAAAACCAACTTTCGTTTGAGATGAGGGAGGAGGCAAATAGTGGTGGTGAGATGTGAAACCAAGATGAGCTTGGAGGAGCTTGGAGGAGCGACGGGAACGATTTTTTGAAACGAGAGGAGGTTAGTAGAGGAGCTTGGAGGAGGTTAGAGGAGCGACGGGAACAAACCCAATATCTACTGCCCACCCTCCTCCGGCATAACAGTTGCTGATTATACAGGATATGTTACCTTGACTATTAATAAAATTATTTCCATAAGTGAGGGCAAAGGTTAACCTCGCAGCATGACACAAATCATTCATTTTCTAACAATGACGAGATTCAGCATTGGCCATTACCACAAATACCTTAAAAGGAAGCTATTAACGACGATTTTTGATGACACGATAGTTTTGGATAAGAAAAGGCATACAGTAAGAAAAACTAAATAATATGTTGCTTTAAATATAGTTGTCTTCCCACAAAATCGACACCGACACAAAAATAATACAATTATAACGCAGGCACAACGCCCGAGTCCGGGCACAACTCTCCGCATTTACACTATCTTACGTGAAGCTGATGAGTTATCCATGATGAAAATTCATTGTTTAACAGCTTCGAGATATTGACAACAACACTTACATGAAAAGAAAAGAAATAAACGCCAAATATACCGTCCCAAACAAACAGCCAGGCACCCTGGTCACTTCAGTTTTGTCTAAGTATCAAGAGCTTTAAAATGAAATTGATGAAAATAAAATAAAACGCTGCCAAATCCTAAATAAAGGGAAGCCAGCACTAAATCATCGCTGTTTACGAATATACAAGAATGTTCTATATAAACGACGAATTGAGAAAATAAATTGAATGCAAAATGATGAACCGTCTAAAGCAAAAACGTGGGTCGATCTTTTGCTGCTAAAAACAAAACAAAAAAAACGACGCTGACAAAACACACAGTGTATATAAACACAAAACAAAGCTGGATGGGGTAGTGTGTGTACAGTATCGGCGGAACACATTCGGCGGGGGGGGGGGGCATGGCAGGGCCTATTTTAACATGTTAACTGGGGGGGCAAATGCCCCCGCACTCAACAGAATTGCCCCCCTAGTCGTCGAGATTTGCCCACTATAAAAATGGGCATAAAGGAACAGGGTGACAAACATACTACGTAACTACTGTGACTTGTTTTGCAATGGATGTCAAATGAGTCAGTCTGTAAGTAATGACCATTAATACATACTTTACGGTGCGTTCACTGGAGATTAACCGTGCGTTAATTCGAAGGTAGCCGTGCATGAATTTAAATTAATACATACTTTACGGTGCGTTCACTGGAGATTAACCGTGCGTTCATGGGTGTAGGAGCGCCAAAAATATTGGTGAAGGATGCCACCTGAACCTTATGAAAAGGGACAGGACCGTGCCAACCAGCACGCACAGTGCAAGCGGGGGGGGGGGGGGAATTTCGCCAACCCCTTGTTTTTCACAGATATCTTACGCCCTTATCATCCCATTAACGTCAAATTTTCAATGCCTGCCTCAAATTGAATTGTGCATCTTGCCATGACAGCAAGATGTAAATCAGGGCCTCGGCTAAGGAATTTTGACTACTGGGGCAAATGGTCTAAGTGTGTTAACCCGCGCCCTGCTGGGAGGGGGGGGGGAGGTTTTTGAACACCCACCCCCACCCCTGCGTTTTTTCGCGGATATCTGAAAAACGGCGGCACCTTATCATCTATCAATTTTATACATTTTGTGAAAATTTTAGACCAGGGTCCTTTAAGGGTGCGATGTTACTGTTAAGTCAATGGGAGGTGAAAAACGGCAATATCTTGAAAACCGATAGAGATATTAGCCTCAAATTTGGCATGCACCTGCTCCATGGGTATACAAAGCCTACTTTGGACAAGTTGTTTGATTCCGTGCAATATTCACGTTGATATTGCACGATAAAGGTGGAAAAACTGAAAAGTTTGAGCCGAAATTCATTAAATGTCATTCAAACTAGGCGCAAAAAATGAATGGCACCCGCATCTCCTCAAAGTGGACAACAATTCTATGTACTCCGATTTTCCATTTTCTTTTTGCAATGTTGCAAAAAATGAAAGTTAAACTTTGCTCATCTTTCATTTTTTGTGTGAGGCATAAAACAAAAAACCGGCTACATAGAAATGTGCACAGAACATTTCTTCACACGAAAATGAAGTTTACTTTTCAGAAATATCTGAACTGTGACTGGAATTAAGCCCGATTCATATCCACTTTTTGACGGTTTTGTTGGTTCAAGGGAGTGCCGCTAGATGTCGTATGGGTCTCCGCCTCGGTCCCTGCCGTTCCCCCATGTAATAAAACCCGCTAGTCGCGCCGACCGGCGGGGAGGGACTGTCAACACACGGTGATTTACGGTCTGGGGTTCCCGCGTGTGCCGGTGGCCGTGAAACTCTGCCGGAACAGAAGCGAACTCGGGGTTGTCGGAGGAAAATGCGGATGGTGGGTGGATTGAATGAGATTAGTGGATTTTATATAAGTAGTATATCGATACACAGGTTACCAACTACCAACCTTGGCGCCTATAGGTACTTTACCTTCTCCCCTAAATAAACATGGGTATTGCATGTGAACTGTGATGGCATACTTGAATTTGATTGTGGCCAGTCTGTCTATACGTCAGTAATATTACAATCGCATAGTGCCTACTCTGAAGCTGCATTTGTATAGCGATCACAATTCACAACACGTCGGCAAATAATGTGGTATCGGTATATAGCAACCACATGGTGAAGCTCAAGACCAAGAAGCAACAACCAGTACTACTCTGTATTGTAATACTCACGGAAAGTAATAAAACAGTGCATCAGTAGTTGTACATCAGCGATGCATCACACATAAATCCCCAGTTTGGCGTCTGCTCTGCTGACACAGTGCAGAAGCGAAGCCAATGAAAACATACCAGTATAACCGGTACATAATATTGCATCCATGGCATGCATTGACATATTGCATTCGTACATGACACGAAACTGATACAGAAAAAGGAGCACAAAATGAGATCGGCATGATGCTGAGCGAATGCTTCAGTTTTGACACGATTGCTGAAATTACCTTAGCTGATGCGTGGTCGACATCTGAGCCAATGATATGTCACATCGAAGTCTCATTCACTGTTGTGAGTCGCTCCCTTTTTTACCCTTTTTGCCATGATGGGATGAGTGACAAAAAAAGTTTCAGCTTGTTAGATGTGTGGCAGGGCTAGTCGCCTCATCCTGTATGTTTTTTTTCTTCACGTCTTTGCCCTTGGGCTCCCTATACCTTGACCGCTCACGGAACGGCATGTGCATCGTGCTTTGCGGAGATCTATCATTTCAGGCACGATGCACTCATCATAAAATGCCTTCACTTTTTCCAGTCTGTTTGCGATGAACCTTCCGTCAGCAGTTGTGCGCTGACATGACGTTTCATGTGGTGTCCAGACAAAAAAGTCACAGAACTTTAAGCACCAGTGCAAGCCAACTGGCACTGAACTTGGGTGTAATATTGGTGACTCTTTTTTAGCTCAAGTTTGCCGTCAAGAAAAAAAAAACAGTTAGTCCACTAGAAGACGCAGCCAGTCTTTCCAGTGAAGTGTTCTCTGCACTTTTGGGACATTTCACTTCTACTATGATGTCATCAGAAACGATTCCATCAGGAGTGGTGGCCAAAAATGGATGCTTCGGGTGCACTACCAGCCCAACTGGTCTTTTCACTTCAGTGTTTGCTTGCTTTTCATATGCTTGTATAGCTAGCTCCTCGTTGACGCGGCCATACTGCAGAGCAGGTGTATATAAATCTTTTGTTGTATCGTAAAGAAGTCTGTTCATGATGTTTTTGTTTGACGTTGAGTCTCGCATATTCGCTATTTGGTGAAAGGTTGTCGCAGTGACGCGTTTGCGTCGCTCGCGGTGCCACTCTTCCTTGTCATCAGCAGTGTTCTCAGCGATTTGGGCACGCTCCACAGCAGTGCTTCCAAGGCTGTCTAAGAACTCCTTTGTTTTAAGCGGATATTGCTGAATATCGCGGTCCTCTAAGTCGGGTGCTGCACAGCCGGGTCCGTACTCCGTAGTCCCCATCTTCCCCGCGAGAGAACGCCGGACGTATCTGCTAACCCTTTTGGCCGGATCGTTGGGACGTTGGAGACGTTTCTTTTGAGCGACATTGACATATTTTTCATGATCTTTGTTGGACTTTTTTGATATTTTTGTTTGAAAACATCGATGTGCATCTGGCTGCCGGACTGGAAGGCTAAAGCTGCTGCGGCACAGCGGTCATGGTACCCACGTTTCTGGTAGTGGTTTACCCGTTTACCGCCGAGGGTTTTTGCCACCTGCGACATCAAGTTTTCGGCTAGGTTGCTGGTAGCGTCGTACGTAAGCGGCAAGACTTCTACTTTTGTTGGGGAGGGGAGGGGAGGGGAGGGGGAGGAGGTAGAGCACTGGCAGTGGCACTGGAGAAGCAAGTTAAATTATCATCCCTTCCATAAGTATAGCAGCCGTTTGAAAAAAGGTGGATGGTAAGTAGGTATAGATATTTCTGTGAAGTTCCCAAGGAACATATTACATGGTTGCAGTCAATAAAATGCAGCTTGCTATAAAAGCAAGCAAGCATTTAGCATACCAATGCCTCGTGTACCTATATAGGTACACGGGTAAAATTGATATTTTGTAATATTTGTAGTTTATACCCCTATCCAGGCCAGAGTACTTGATATAATAAAGTTATGCGCATGGGGCTTAGATTAAAACGACATCCTTTCGAATGAGAAATAGATGAGAAATGGAATACGAATCTTGCAGCTCATAGTCTTCTCCATTAAAATAAGATTGTGCGCATGGGGCCTAGCTTCAAATGAGAAAATAGATGCTGAACTTCCCGTTGTTGTTACGGAGCGAGCGAAGCAAGCGAGGTCTTTTCAATATAACGGATAAATCTCAGTAAGAGCGGCCCGGCCCGACCCGGCCCGGGCTGTAACGCTTTTGAAAGGCTAAAAAAAAAACTCAGCAACCGCTGGGCCGATTTACTTGCGGTAATTTTTGTAGGGTAGCTTGATTCCTTCTACCAAGTATTTGACTTCTTTCGATGCATGTGGGTGACCCCCTATGCACGTGCCACGTGCAAAACGAAGAGGAGTCATTTTTGTAACAATTGCAATATCTCGGTAGTTACTGGGCCGATTGGCTGAAACTTTGCATGTAGGTAAGCAGTAGGCACCCACTAGGCAATGCATTTTCATGTCCCACAGTTCATGTGGGGTGCTGCTGCACGTGCGCACGTGCAGCGGTCGATTCCAGATCTCGAGAACGGCTGGACCGATTGCGCTCAGATTTGGTTAGCGGTTAGGGATCCGTTCGTAGGGTGCCGTGCAAAAGTCAGTTGGGACCCATTTTGCACGTGCGCACGTGCAGGGTGCCGCTTCTAGATCTCGAGAACGGCTGGGTCGATTGCGCTCAAATATGGCACATTGCTAGAGACCGGTTAGTAGGGTACCGTGCACAAGTCAGTTGGAGGTACCCCCTCACAATTTCCCACGTGCAAGGCCCACCCTCTTGCTCGCTCCGTTTGTCGTCCTATAAGGCGTTTTACTGGTAGTATGTGTAGCAATGTGAATCTAGCACTGCATTTCACTAGAACAATGCCGTCAGGTCAATCATGTGAGGATATCAGACGCATTCTTGTGACTAGAGCTG